GAATGATGCGCCACGTGACCAAAAATTCCGTGCCAATGCATAATTGAAAGGTGCGAGGACATCTGTATGAAAAACGAAAACTATCTTATAGCGGCTTCAATTAGAATGTATCTTGTGTAGCTAAAACGCATCACCTCTTCTCACACATAGGTCAATACCGCCTGTCACTAGTGTTCGTATAAGGTGTGTCTGTCTATGGATATGCTATGCTCTCAAACCACTGACACGCTGTGATCTTTCCGCCCGTCCCAGTCCGAGCCGCTGCTGTACCGGCGAGATGGGTGACCTGCCGGAGCTCTCGGCGCCGCTGCAGCTGCCCCACCTGCCCGGTATCGCCGCCGACGTGACCTTCTGTACCGAGCCAGGGCCGGCCATCGCGCCGTCCGTGCTGCTCGCTGCTGACCTGCCGCTGCCGGAGCTGCCGCCGGCAGTCGATGGCGGCATGGATCCGGCCGTGCCGCCGCCCCCGCCGCCACCGCCCCCGCCGGCGGTGGGCAGGTGACAGCGGCAGGACGGGAGGGGGATGGGGCGGTGACCGCTCCGCCGCCGCCGCCGCCGCCGCCACCTCCGCCCCCGCCGCCGCCTCCACCGCCACCACCGGCGCCAGCAGCGACAGAGGCATCGCCCGGCCCACCGGAGTCTACCTCAACACCCGAAAAGGTGAGGAGCATGCAGCTGAGGAGCTGTTGGAGGTTGGCGAGCCGTATCTCACATCGTAGTGTATGCTCAATGCTGCACGATGAAAATGTTCGTCTGAATGCATCAGTGCCAATGAAGAAAAAAATACAGTCTAGGAGATATTAGAACACAAGCGCGAAGCTGTACCAATTTTTAGTTTGGTACCTCACCAGAGTAGTTGATGCATTGGTAGGCTTTAGAGAATGGTGGTGGTTGATTCATGACCACTGGCGTTTATCTTGAGCTTATCCAGGCACCCAGCTATTGCGCAGTTATGACAAGGAACAAATGAACTCGAACGATTTCACTCACGCGAGAAACATGCCAGAGGTAACGCACCAGTGTGATATATTTCAGTTTCCAGAGAGCCATTTAATGCCGGCAATGAATCAAACGCCGAGCTCTATTTAATTTTGTTGTTATTTAAGAAGGCTGCTGCTAATTCGGTCATCAGTCACCTCTGATCAACCTAGTCTGTTTGAGAAGATGTTGGCTTTGCGGGAAGCTTCATATGTATGTCACTATGTGCATTATGAATGCATGCAAAGGTATCTCTATCGTTATAATTAAAGTAAGCAATAAGCATATGAGGCCATGAAGCGACATAGGGTAAGGGCGGGTAAGAGTACGCGGGCGATAAGAGTACGCATCAGCTGTTTCGGTTGCTTAGCAACGCGGGTTTGTCGAGTTCATGAAGTGACATGAAGCCGCCAGTGCGTGCTTGTCACCAACGGAACGTGGGCGTTGAGCGGCGACGCTTTTGAGTTTAAGGCGATAAATATTATTTTCGAGCGTTATGATATTATTATGGTATGGTACAATAATTTTGATACTTGGCAGTTGAGATAAGGTACATTTCCGTGATTGTTGTGGGAAACTTGTTAGGTTATCTGGGGAAATACTGTGCAGTGCAATATTCTGTTTGCGAAGTTTTGCACAACGTTTCGGGGTTGTTTTGTGCGCGAATTGCATGTACGGTAAGAGGACGCACTGTTCAGGAGGGTAAGAGTACGCAGAATTATACATTAAATCGAATATACAGAAATATAAAATTATTAATCTATCGCTCAATGACGTTTGTTTTGTAGGTATATCATCAATGGAGCACTGTGATGCAGATGTGTACCCGAAATTCTTCCAAATACGAGTTATTCTCCCTTTTGATTGTACATTTTTTTTCTAAGAAACACACGACATGATTATTTCCTGATTTATAGACTTGAAAGATGTATTTTATGTTTTTCTTTTTGGATACTAGAATTAACTTAAGTGCCTTCTGAGTTTGAAGTTAAGCATTTGGACAATGGACAGTACAAGCTGCATAGGTGTGTGTTCATATGCTTGCGTACTCCACCCGCCTGGCGTGCGTACTCTTACACACCCCATATGGTAAGAGTACGCAACTGCAGCGGTTCAGAAAATGTCAGTTTTAGACCACTTCCATTTACGCTGAAGGATCGTTGCCCCATGGGTTGATAGCTAATTCAATGAACTTTAATATTCCCTATTTGCGATTTCTTTCTTTCAAATATTAAACAAATGAGAGAAAGAAATCCACTAAGTGCGTACTCTTATACGACTTCACCCTATGTCTCGTGTCACTTGGTTGTAATTGAATAGTATTATGCCTTAAGTTTGATGTACCTAATCGTCTCAGCTTACGCAATATTTCTTGGCTTCCATATCAACTGTCTGAACTTATCCTCGCTTGATCATTAGCGCGCTTTTTTAAGATACCGAAAAAATATTGATTGAGGAATATGCTTCTTTAATGGTTATGATTGCGTTTGATTGGTTCTTTTTTTTTCTGAGTTACTTCTAATGAGGGAAGACGTCTGCGGTCTGATGAGGAAGGGATTCTCAAGAAGACTCATGTTTGATAACCGCATCATGTAAACGGGGACATTGTTTAACGCATCCTCTGATATTGTCTGGCTAGCTGATAAGTTAATGAAGTCCCACTGTTTCTTGATAGCGTTTTATTTCTGCTGCCAACACACAAATGTGCGCGGACGGAATAGATTAAATTATTTCCAAAGTATCTTCAGGACTAATTCGTATATGATGTAAGATAAAAACACCAAAACCACCCAACGTTTCGTGTTATTACCACATGCCGAGATATCCCTTTAACATTAGCACGTGCATTTGGGAAATGGCTTCGGCCCGCCTCGGCTAATGTTGAAGGTATTTGGGAAACGATTCGGCCCTAGGGCTTTTTGATTTTCCCAGACAAAGTTTTACTGAATATTCTGAGCGGAAGAACCAATTTCAAAGAAGATATTTACGAATTGTGTGTTCACTAACAGCAACAGCAAAAGTGAGTGACTGCGTGTTTACATGCTTTTGCTGTCAACGTAATTCAACTAAACAAGGTTATCGTTCCAATGCCAATGTATTTATTGCTGCAGAACATGTTCGGAATAATAATTATTTCTACATAATGCACGCAAAAAAAACGAACAATTTAAATGCGTGAAGCATCTTAACGTGCCACAATGAAACATTTGATATTGTTCCAGCTGGGATCCAAGACGCGTTTGATTCAGCGTTTCACCCAATTTTTAGTTTTCATCACGGTTTCCTCACTCCTGCTGGACTCCATATCTTTATTCTAACTTCTGGCGCTTCACCATCTTCATCCTCAGCTTTTTCAAACCCTAAATAAGGGGGAAGTAGGAATTTCATCTTTCATACTCAACGCAGCCTAATAATGAAAAACACAAAAAAATAATCACGGTGACTATAAATATGAACATAGTATTAATATAACATTAACACAATACATATTAAGATTAAAGTGTAAAATATCAAATGCATATGATATCAACTGTTGCGCCGGTACGGCATGTGGTAAATCTCTTCCCAACCTTGGGCTGTGAAAATGTGTGAAAATGCAGTTTTATTCACCTCGGTTTTTGGCTACGGACCTCGTGCCTACCGGCACTCGGTCCTCCGCACAAAAACCTCGGTGAATAAAACGCATTTTCCCAGCCCCGGTCGGGAATATATATTCACTTTTTCAAGGGTGATATATCACCCTTGAAAAGTGAATAACACGAAACGTTGAGTGGTTTTGGTGTTTTTATCTTACATCATATACGAATTAATTTGTCCAATTCAAATAATCATCTTCAGGACTACTCACGCAGTGGCGAGAAGCGGCGAACACTACGGAAAGGTCCACAGAATTATTCATCTAATTCACAATGAAAAGCATTTTATGTGGATGATGCAAGTGCAAATAAATAGTTACACTTTTCTGTTACACGTGCTGGTAAATTAGCAGACTATTTTTGTTACCTACCGGCTACCGCTCTCAAATCTTGAAGAGCCTCGCCCTCGACTTTTCCGGGAAGCTTATTACTGGCGACAGTCTAATAAGAGTTGTTCCCACTGTTTACTGCATTTCTGCACACAAGCCAGACTAAAGCTATTACAATTACATGTTTGTTTGTCTTGTTCTCCGGGGCTGAGACGTAATCCCACAGACAAGTTGAAAGCCAGACATACAGACAGACAAGTTTAGTGTTGAGTATGATTTACTGTACTACTTTGATTTAGCGTCATGAAACTTAAACAATAGATCGTTTTTTTATTCTAAATTTTCTATTCCTTCCCTTTCTATGTTATTATCACCACCATATGTTACATACTCGTAAATCATGTTATCCTGCGATCGATGTCAACGCTAAAAATATAATGCAACTGTTACAACAGTGGCAAACTATACTAATGTCTGGCGTCCGCAATATGCTCGCTATACCGTTTTCTTTTATATCCCGCAATGCAATATCCTACGGTACTTATATTACTTATACTGCTTATGACTCGGTAAATTGTCACAGATGAACATTGTCGCAAAATTACAACCAGCTTAGACCCCACTTTATCTTGGTTCTAGTCAATAAAGCATCCTTATCGCAAATTGAATTTCCGCCTTATGGATCCTCCAGGAATATGACATGCTGTATCTGCAAATTACATCAGTTATGGGTAGAATAGTCCAATATATCTATGACGTGTTGTCGTTCTTGCATCGGGAGATTGCCGGATGGATAAGCTTGCCATCTTTTCGGGCGTTTCTTTTCGTGAAGATGCATGCATGCCTATAATCTCTATCTCTATCTCTTTATAATCTCTTTCTGCAAACCTCTTCTGTTAACACATGGTCGAATGATGAAGCTACTCTCAAATGTGTCATTGCTCGCCGGTCTTGGTCACTTTACGTCTGCACGTGCACACCCCCACCCCCCCCCCCACCCCCTCCTCCTCCGCACGTGTCATCCCCCACAGGCCACCCGTGCCGTTACCCTCGGCACGCAGCGGCATGGATCACAGTAAACATCGGTAGTCAATTGTCGAACCACTTCGGGGATTTGTCCACTCTCTTGTTGGCGCACTCCCCCGGAAATGGAGCCGCCCACGAGCTCATACAGCCGCCAGCGTGCGGCGCCAATAAGCCTCGTAGCTTAGCGCGTTAGAAGCCGGCTAAATTGAGAAGCGATGGGAGTTCTTTTTTCAATAACGGGTGTTGGAAGCTGTTTGTATTAGCGAGCGATGAGAACTGTTTACTGCTGAGCGGTGAAATATGGCTTTATCGACGAAAGCAGAAAGCTACAGAAAGCTGTAGTAACGTTGCTGAGAGTTGAAAGGTTTAGGTGGCTAATTTGATGAGAAGTGGGAGCTAGGCACAATGATAGATATAGAAGCTGTTCGTCCGATAGGAGGAAGCCATGTAATAATGTCGAGCAAATGACCATTTGCTAATACTCTGATTATGATACACCCATGATAGCTACTCTGTCTGCTAACTATCTGCCCATTTTCCTGTTCCCTTTTTTACCAAGCTAGGCGAACAGGCTTGAATGCATAGTGCTTGCTCCCATGCTGTGGTTTACGGATTTTATTGCAATGCGGCTTAGCCAGTTCCAAACATCTTTTTGTGATGAAAAGCTTCTTTATACGTTTGGTAAAATTTTACAAAATTGTACAGCGTCTAGTGTCCATTGTCCATATAATATACGTCCGAGTCCATCAACATACATTCCCAAACTTCCATCTAGCGCACGTCTACATCTGAATCGGACCGTTCTATATACATGTAGTAATCTTGATCTGACCTTTGTATATACAGGGTGTCCCAAAAATAATGTCACACCTTTCCAGCGTCAATTTCATGAAAATAACAAACATGAGAGGCGCGCTTTTCTTACGTATGCATCCCACCTTCTCCCTGATGCGGGCCAGCATTCGGTCCGGGACATCAGACATCAACATGTATAGATTCTGTGGACTGATCTTGGACCAGACAGATCGAACGTTCCTGGTCAGCGTGCGTTCAGGTTATCCTGGCGCCGTTTTGCTCACCTCTTACAGGACGATCGCCCAAATATTTTCTATCGGCGACAGGTCGGGGCTATTCACCGGCCATTTGTCCTTCTCCCAGAATGCTGGGAAGTTCGATCTGTACCAGCCCTTCGTCGTTCTAGCTCGATGAGCCGTGGCGCCGACTTGTTGAAAGATGACCCTGGACATGTTCAGCAGAAGTTTTCGGCTGGAAACGTGGCTTGTTGGGCTTCAGCTTTAGAGACATCCTCCGGTACCGATGGATTATCAATTTAAAGACTGGATGACTGTTGGCAATCAGCCTCCTTGCCAGTTTCCTTGTGGATAAGCCCGTCTTTAGCTCCGCACTTCGCGATGACGATCTGCGCTATACCCGGCTGGCGGAAGTCTTCCCGCCGCGACCTAGCTTGTTCCCAGGCGTCTATCCGCTTCTGTCGCGTGATAACCAGTGCCAAATCGTGCGACAACTCATGCTCAGTACCTCGGCGACCTGGCCGTGGGTCGTGCCACCGGCAACCATGCTGACTGCCCCGCTGCGGGACGATTTGCTCTGCAGTTTCGCCATCCTGGATACCTGGTCCGCGCGCGCTGGGTACTGCCCCGGAAATGACCTCTGTACACCCCTTGACCGGTCAGGGTCACAAAAATTCGAAGGTCACGTGACTTGAATGTAGCCAATATGGTCTGGGAGTCAGTACCGGTGAAATTATATTGATATTGCGCAGTAGAAGGCAAAACAAAGGTTGTGGGAGGGTGTGACAATAATTTTGGGACACCCTGTAATAAACGAAGGAAACTAGTTACACAGATAATACCAATCCCGCTTGCTTCCTAAACTCTCGTACTTTGATCATTACTCATCCCTAGGTACTTAAATGTCATATGCATAGTTTAATGAGGCTCTGTCTCCCATTCAGCCCCATCATGCTGAAGGTTAACGATCATAAAGAGTAATTACGGTAACATCATTAACGTGCAGCTTCACTGCCAGGTAGTCAGTTCTCACGGCCAACCAATTTAGCTTGACTTTGCCCTACAAATCTCTAGCGAGCCGCCTGTACAATGTACATACGTTGAACATGGGGACAATGTTCTATGGCTTTGTCACCAAAGCTTCAGGGGGTTGTTGACCTTTGGCGTTGCGCAACAGCAATCTCTCGAATGGTACCGCTGAGAGTTCGTGTAAGGTCAGCCTGCTTTGGGGTCACATCAATAGTGGTTCAAAGATTAAGATTCGTTTTTAATTTTTAAAACAAGCGTCACGCCGCGGCTGGGGATCCGTTTTTTTTACATGGTCGTGCTGCTTTCGGTCCCGTGGCGAAGGAACCGTCTTTCAAAAATGTTTATAAGAACTGTGTCTCTCAAGGGCTTCGTGTAAAGCCCTTACACCAGTTTTTATTACATTAGGGTAGTGTGGGGTAATTTGAACATATTTTTACGTCTTCTCCGTTGTACTAAATTCCAGTTCAACCCTGGATGAAGAAAAACTGCTTCAGTAGCGCAAGTGTCACTTGCTTTCACCATGCAAGCCTCATTTTTGGACGAGCCGAGCATACCTTGAATAGCATAGCCTCACTTCTCCACCAAGTCACGGTGTGTTCAAATTGCCCCACCGTGGGGTAATTTGAACATACTGCCTTTACCTGTCATAAAAACGATAGTCTCGCCAGCACCGATGTTGTTTGACCCATAAACAAATAGGCAGAACAATTCTAAACATACCTTCACTTGAAAAATCAACACAACAGCAAAAATAACAGTTGCAGTGTATCAATATCTGCACGCTGCACACCAATCAGTTGACAGAATTCGCCCCTCTTCAATTAACAGAACGGCTATCATTTTTGTTCGATAAAAACTCTCCCAACCGTACTACATCTGTTAAAGTGGTGCCAATCGAAACCTGGACATTTGGAATTCTGATTTTGTCCAATGTCCAATTCGGAATAGGTTGGACAAAGGTAGCAGACTGGACAACATTGGACGATGGCTTGCTACACTTCAGCGCTTTTTATAAAGTAATCGTGCATAGCATTGATTGGCGAATGGAAAGCTTGTTAAGCTCTCAATATAATGAACACTTTTCGGCTGGTAAAATTACATGATAAGCAATATAAATGACGGTTTTGAGTGTTGATAGCTGCATAATTTTCGGACATATTTGGACAAATAGTTGACTTAAACATTTTTGGACGGAAAATCAACAAAAATGCCGGACATTAGACGGATATTAGACGTAAATTTTCTAAAACTGGCATCACTTATCTGCTACTGCCTTGGGTCGAAAATATTGGCAAAAAAAAAAACTGGGAGCGTTGTTTTTTCGGAGCTATCCCTGTCTTCACTCAAATTCTCACACTATGTTCAAATTACCCCACGCTAAAAGTTATTTTGCCATTTTAAAAAAACAGGGTTCAAAAGCAAATTTCTTGGATTGAAGGCACTGATTAGGTCATTATACAACAAAAACCGTTGCGTATTAGGCGCTAGCAATGCAAGATCTTGCGCTGCAATGAAGTTGCAATGACGTGCTGTTAGGCGTTTTTCCTTGCGAAATTGATTTTTACACTGTGCGTCAACATCTTCATTCCCTGAAACTTTAAACCCCGTTCATATGATAGCCCTTTTAGTTACGATAATTTCCCTCATTGGTCTTATTGTCATGCCACTTATGGATTTTCCTTAATTTTCTGTTATTCACACTATGTTCAAATTACCCCACATGTTCAAATTACCCCACCCTACCCTATTAACGTATTGTACGAAGTAATTCACATGTTGAAAATTACAGACTTGCGAGAAACCTAAATAACTAGCCTTTTGATCTAGCTATTGGCAATATTCTGTTTAGTAGCTTATTAGGAAACTTTTACCCCAGGAATGCTGCATCTGATCCAATCACTATTACTGAACCGTTTCATCCAACTGCGCGCTCTCAATGACAGTTCCAATGACATTATTAGCCAGTATTACCCATGTATGTATATACAGGCGACGTGAATAACTTGCAAGCGTCTTTCATCCCACAACTCAAACTGACACGACCGCAGGATATATCATGCGACCTGTACGATTTAAGCGACGCCATTTTAGCGCAGGATATTCTGTATAATCGAATGACGTTATAAAATGCTGCAATTGGATTGTTACCGTGTTATCCGTAATAAGACATTAACATTTAATCAGCTGACGCACCAAGCTCTTTTTCTCCTCTCTCTCGCTCTCTCTCTCTCTCTCTCTCTCTCTCTCTCTCTCTCTCTCTCTCTCTCTCTCTCTCTCTCTCTCTCTCTCTCTCTCTCTCTCTCTCTCTCTCTCTCTCTTCTCCATCACTCTCTCATCTCGCCATTAGTGGCTCAAACCGCCCAGCCCGCCTCGGCCGCTGAGCTGTGTCTCATCCGCGTCTGTGTGTTTTGATAGTCGCCGTCTATTGATGTATGTCTGTCTGTCTGTCGTCACCGGCAGCCGAGTGTGGTGCCCGATCTGGCCGGCTCTGCGTCCCGCTCGGACCTGATGGAGGCGATACGGCAGGCGGGCGGCCGCGGCCGGGCCAAGCTGCGCTCAGTGGCGGCCGCGCCGCCGCCGCGACGGACTGAGGTAGGGAATAAGGGAGGGTGTGTTGGATTGAGTGGCAGGAGACGGACAGTGGAGGCTCTTACAAGGCTTGATGATGGACTGTGATGCGAGAGGCATCGGCTGAAATAATAGTTACATCAGACAATGTAATTGTACTGGAAATAAGAAGATAGTCGTCTTAAGTTTCATTGGGTATTCTTCCACTTAAAAAAGTACGTTCATCTTACAATCACCTATCATGTGTCGCTCATCTTTCATTACCATAATAAGTGTCAGTGTTTTTGCGCCCTCACCGACATTGATAGTGCTTATGTCATCATCTCTACCGTCCCTGCTCTATTTCCACCGTCCATATGAATTCCACGAACTAGTCCAGTGTGCGTCACAGCTGTCACCAGATGTCATCCGAGTCTGTTGATATCGTAGCTGCACTATTACCAGTTGTCGCCGGTGTCAGGTGACACTGCCGCTGACACCGTGTCACGGTTGTGACACTGATGGGTGATGAAAGCATCGATGTACTGCAGGAGACGGAGGCACCGCCCAGTGGGGACCTGATGGCAGACCTGGCGGCCAAGCTCTCCATTCGGCGAAAGGTTAGAGAGATTGTTGGGTAGAATGCGAGATGGACGATGGGAGGTGGCTTGGGACGATTGGGAAATCATTTGAGGGTGAGGCGATTGGCTAATTTCAATGGTGTTGGGCTGATTGAATCCCCGGATTCTTGTGACACAAGGTGGATCGATCACTTGGATTAATTTGGAATTCTTTTGTGCTGGTACAATTTAGGAAAATGTAGGCGTAACTAACTTTAATAACTTATCATACCAAAAACCGGATTCCAGGACAAATCTTCGTATGGCATTTCTTCGTCGCGCAATTCTTCGTCCGCATTTCTTCGTCCGCAAATCTTCGTCGGCGCATTTATTCGTGTCGCATTACTTCGTCTCGCATTTCTTCGTAGGTGCAAAAATTCGTAGCGCATTTCTTCGTATCCGCATTTCTTCGTCGGCGCATTTCTTCGTCAAGCATTTTTTCGTCCACGCATTTCTTCGTCTACGCAAATCTTCGTCCGCATTTCTTCGTCCACGCAAATCTTCGTCTGCGCATATCTTCGTCCGCAAATCTTCGTCCGCGCAAATCTTCGTCCGCAAATCTTCGTCCGCATTTTTTCGTCCACGCATTTCTTCGTCTACGCAAATCTTCGTCCGCATTTCTTCGTCCACGCAAATCTTCGTCCCCGCAAATCTTCGTCCGCAAATCTTCGTCCGCAAATCTTCGTCCGCAAATCTTCGTCCGCAAATTTTCGTCCGCATTTTTCGTCCACGCATTTCTTCGTCCAATCAAATCTTCGTCCGCAAATCTTCGTCCGCAAATCTTTGTCTGCGCTATCTTCGTCTCCGCAAACATTCGTCCACAAATGTGGTTCAATAAAACCATGAAGAAATATCAGACAGTCAAGTGAATGACGAATTTAATGCGTGGAATAGATGATCGAAACTTTTGAAGTCAGGTTGATGAGGTCAGTCAGGTGAAGCTGTTGTATTTGGGAGCCGACAATTGTAACATTCCATATCATTTGTGTCCCGGACATTCTTTTTTTTCGCGGTCGTTGAATGACAATATAATCTCTTGTACCCTCGCCGGCATAGGCGGCGGAACGGGGAGGGCACCGGGGCACCGTTCCCCTCTTTAATTTTGGCCTTTTAACAGTAGCCCTATGGGCGTTGCATGGAAAGCATATTGGACCAAAAGTCGGCAGTGCCGTGCCCCCCGCCCTTAATTGAAGATGTTCCGCCGCTACTGCCCGCCGGACCTATTTGTTTTCTACGGTACACGCCGGCCGAGGGGGCGGGTACGACCCCCCCCCCCCCTCATCGCCGTTTCGCCACTGGTGGAGCTAGCGCGTCGCGGAAAAAAACGAGCGTGTGCGCCGTTACGAGCCGCAGAGATTAATACCCGATTTTAAGGCCTTCTAGGTCAGGGGTCGGCATACGGCCCGCGGGCCGGATCCGGCCAGGTGGGTGACGGTTGGATCCGGCCCGCGACCATCTAACGTCCGGCCCGCGGCTGGTATCAGTGACTTACATCGTGTTCCGGCCCGCGGTTCCTTCATAAATCGACTCCGATATAAAAGTGATTCAAATGTGCTTTGGCACATCAGTTCTTCCTTCGCACACTTCATGAGTTTATAAACACCATTTGCGGGTGTTTTTGTCTAATTCTACTTCTAGACAAAACTTGCAACGGTAAGATTTGGTTAGCAGCTTTTGCGCACAGCATCAACGACTGCTGGCTGCGTGCACTTAGCGGCTTCACGTGGTCTATCTCGCGGTGTGTGTGTGTGTTGTTGTGTGTGTGTGTGTTGGGGGGGGGGGGGCGGGCCGGAACCCGAACAAGTTATAAGTCGCTGATACCAGCCGCGGGCCGGACGTCAGATGGTCGCGGGCCGGATCCAACCGTCACCCACCTGGCCGGATCCGGCCCGCGGGCCGTATGCCGACCCCTGACCTAGAAGGCCTTAAAATCGGGTATTAATCTCTGCGGCTCGTAACGGCGCACACGCTCGTTTTTTTCCGCGACGCGCTAGCTCCACCAGTGGCGAAACGGCGATGAGGGGGGGGGGGTCGTACCCGCCCCCTCGGCCGGCGTGTACCGTAGAAAACAAATAGGTCCGGCGGGCAGTAGCGGCGGAACATCTTCAATTAAGGGCGGGGGGCACGGCACTGCCGACTTTTGGTCCAATATGCTTTCCATGCAACGCCCATAGGGCTACTGTTAAAAGGCCAAAATTAAATAGGGGAACGGTGCCCCGGTGCCCTCCCCGTTCCGCCGCCTATGCCGGCGAGGGTACAAGAGATTATATTGTCATTCAACGACCGCGAAAAAAAAGAATGTCCGGGACACAAATGATATGGAATGTTACAATTGTCGGCTCCCAAATACAACAGCTTCACCTGACTGACCTCATCAACCTGACTTCAAAAGTTTCGATCATCTATTCCACGCATTAAATTCGTCATTCACTTGACTGTCTGATATTTCTTCATGGTTTTATTGAACCACATTTGTGGACGAATGTTTGCGGAGACGAAGATAGCGCAGACAAAGATTTGCGGACGAAGATTTGCGGACGAAGATTTGATTGGACGAAGAAATGCGTGGACGAAAAATGCGGACGAAAATTTGCGGACGAAGATTAGCGGACGAAGATTTGCGGACGAAGATTTGCGGGGACGAAGATTTGCGTGGACGAAGAAATGCGGACGAAGATTTGCGTAGACGAAGAAATGCGTGGACGAAAAAATGCGCACGAAGATTTGCGGACGAAGATTTGCGCGGACGAAGATTTGCGGACGAAGATATGCGCAGATGAAGATTTGCGTGGACGAAGAAATGCGGACGAAGATTTGCGTAGACGAAGAAATGCGTGGACGAAAAAATGCTTGACGAAGAAATGCGCCGACGAAGAAATGCGGATACGAAGAAATGCGCTACGAATTTTTGCACCTACGAAGAAATGCGAGACGAAGTAATGCGACACGAATAAATGCGCCGACGAAGATTTGCGGACGAAGAAATGCGGACGAAGAATTGCGCGACGAAGAAATGCCATACGAAGATTTGTCCGGTTACGCAAAAACCGTCCCATGCTGGGTGGGATGCGCGAATCATGCCAGAAACCGTCCCATGTGTAGCAACCCTTTCGTGACCGGTCGCCTCCTCCCGTCAGGGTATCTCTGGCGAGAAGGCCCGCCAGGACTGGGCGGAGGGCTCCGGCGGCGCCCTGGCCAGGGTATCGGCCCTCATACCGCCCCCGCCTCCCGGGCCGGGGGACGACGCCGGTGACGACCCGGCCGCTGTGGACCCCGACTGGAGCTGAGACTTTCGGCCGAGGAAGGTGTGAGGGGTTTGTGTCAGCGATGGAGACTTGTACCGAGTGGAGAGTCATTGAGGCCGGGCGCTGAAGGTGTCTACGTTTTGGTGTGAAATATGGAGACTCGTGTTACCGAGAGATGCGTTGTGAGAGGGAGGGGTATTCGCTGGCCAAATGCGGACCAATGTGCCTATGCTTGGTGAGGATAACGCAGGGTGATATTATATCATGGCAGGCTGGAAATTATCCGGGATCAATGTTATACTGAGCGTATAGTCAATTTGAATTAATGCATGCATTTGTATCGTCGTTATCAGATGTAAGCACTGTGCAATGTGCATGTATGTCCAATGTATTGAACTATGTGCACAAGTATTTTTTCTGCATCGCTGAATACCATTATCGACAAATTATCTTTGATTTTTCACTCCGATTGTTCGGTTTTCCAATGCGACCAGCAGGATGATAAATCACTTACAGCAGGGCAAATTGTCTCTTGTCTCCATCTGAGCGTACTTTCTTTTCAATATTCATCGTTTCACAGCATATGCGCCACGACGATGACCTTTTCTACTTCACCAACAAGTGCATTGAGCACTCGCATGGATTGTGATCTTATGGAGCTTCTGTAATCTGAAATATAGAACAAAAGCAATGCAAATAGTCATAAAAAGGTCAACTGTGCTACTGTGCTAGCTCCATGGCAATATGGATGGATGGTGACTAGGAAATGGCATTCGTCTCTGTGTTTTGCTCTTACATTGATATGGTTTTTATCCTTGAAATACGCCGTAGCACTCGATCTACGAGACGCAATGATGCTACCAAGTTATAATAACGACCAGGATAACTGATAAAGTAATAAATTGAAGTTCATTGGCTGGTGCAAATGCTCTTTTAGGAAGGAGGCATACTTTTTACTCGTATTTACACGATGAACCTCTAGAAGCACAGTGACAGGTTATGCCGCAATTTCAGATAACGTTGGTTCAATTTGCTGATGTCATATCTGGATGCGAGTTGATTCGAGCATCTGACGCCTCCACTGTTGCTAAGCACATCCGAACGCCGTCACCTAGTAATATCTTGTCACGTGGCTGGCGGGATGGGATAACGCGCCGACTTATTCTCACTGAGGGAGCTCTTCACATCCTCGCCTCCACGGCAATGCCGGGCATTGAAGACGGCTGAATGGGCATGAGATACTCTCGGGTGTGTCAATATCTTTCATATATATGAACGGCTCACAGATGCGATAACGATGATGATATGACTTGAAGTGAAAAGAAAAAATGGGAAGTCGAAATAGTTTTCGTGGACCGGAAATGGAGAGGCACTAAAAGAGCTTTGTGCAAGAATGGTGTAGCTATAAGAGAATCGTGAAAATCAAATAACTGGATGCGTATGCGAACTATGTGACATGTTCGTGAAGTGCAGGGCTAGTTTGGCTCTTTCGGTAAGCTACGATGTCATTTTTGTTTCGATCCTCTTCACTGAAGGATGAGTAGGCCACAGTTCTTTCCACACAATATGTCCGTCCGTTGTCCAGGGTCCGGGATTGCTCGGCCAGGGCCTTGGCTCGGCCCATCATCTTCCCTTCAGCTGACGCTCATGCAACGACTTCTTCCTCGACATGCCGTGATCGAGACTCGATGTATGTTATAAACCGGTTCCGTTATTGGTTCATGAATTATGTGACGTCCAAACTAAACCAAGGAAGTCGATCATTCTTGTCCGGCCCAGTTCCTCGACAAGCCAGTGTCCTTGTAGTTTATCGCCACAGTCCCAGTGTTACGCTCGGTGCAACAATTCGAGAGCTAAAGGACTGGCTGTCACGGGCTGTTGCTTTGTCGTGCTACATTATTTCGAAGAAAAGTTTCCAGTGTTACAGTCATCCGACATCGAGGCTATAATAAGTCAAAACGATGTAGCCCATCTGAATATAACCAGAGTCCGAGTATCCATTATTAAGACGTTGGATTATTTTCGTGACATTGAACCACTACGTAGCGCGTCTACTACGTCGACGCCATGCATTATCCGGTGTTCACTGGCGATATAATCTGAGGGCGTCGTTTTTATTGCCAGCGCAAAAGACGCTGCTTCAGTCCCATGCTCGATGTTCGGAGCCTCATGCCCTTTTCTTCCGATGAACAAATGTGAACTATGGGCGTTTGGCTATGTTTCACATTTATCAGAAATATGTGTAAAAAGCTCAAAATAACGATATAGCTTGCAGCCCACTCGCGTGGCATGCAGCGCTCAACTGATGAAGGGATAAACATTGCTCGCAAGAGATCGGGTGTTTGACGTCTCTTTTCCAGTGTCTGTTTTCAAGTAATTTGTAGTCTTTATGGGTCCCGCACAATGCACTTTATCCAGGGTAGGTACGGGTTTTTCGGAATCCATTGCTCCTTTCGCTTTGAATAATCGCCGTCTTGTTCCTAACTTCAGCACAACGCTTTGAACAATAAGTCGTTTTGTAACGCCTCTGTAGAGTGGTTTTCCGTTTTCCAAATTTTATTTCCTAATCCAGGCGACACTGCTAAAAAAAATTATTATTCGACATCCGTCTGTTCGACACATACCTACTGTTTTAATAAATACTCCCAGGTGTACTTTCTGCCTGAAGTTACTAACGATTTCGAATTTGTATTATAAAATAAAAATTCAGCAAACTAAGGCGTATCTAGCAGTCTAATCAATCTAGCATACCTTTTCAAAATAATAATCGTTTCAAATACGGAGTACTATAAACCAAATTAAAAATTAAATACAAAAGACTATGATCCGCTGACGATAAATAACACGCTGAAACGCAGTGCGGTTCACTAAGGAACTGCGCCAAATTAACTGTAAATCATGCGCTGGGTAATGGGTATGCCGTGTTCCAATTTCCTCGCAACATTGCTCGCGGCCCGGACGATGTAACGTCGGATCGCCCATTACTGAAGCTTCGATGCGAGAGGCGTGTTGCGTAAGCGTGCGATAGCCTGCCTGCTGACTGGTCGACGGGACCCCCTCCTCCCGACCCCGCTACTAAAGAACCCCTCCTGGCCTTCAGGATACCTCCTCGCTGACCAACCCAACAAAGTGTCCCTATTTCCCTTCCGACTGAGTGTCCATGCATACAGCGCAGTTGTTCACTGATCCCCAATCCCCATGCTGCCCTTCTTCTCTCTCCTGACTATCGGGATTCGGGATGCCCTCCTTATCCACCCTCCCCTGACCGTTGGGGCGCCCTTCCCCTCCACCGACCGTCCTCGCCTCCCTCTCCCTCCCTCTCGGTAGCTGCGGAACACCTTCAATTAAGGGGGGGGGGGCACTGCCGACTTTTTGTCCCATTCTTTCCATGGAACGCCCATAGGGCTAATGTTAAAATGCCAAAATCAAAGGGGGGCACGGTGCCCCGGTGCCCTCCCCGTTCCGCCGCCTATGCTCCCTCTGGCCGTGGGACGCGCTCCTCCCCTGGCCGTCATGATGCCCTTCCCTCCCCCTCCCCTGACCGTTGTGATGCCCTCCTCTCCCCTCTTCTCCTGGTCGTGGGATGGTCTCCTCTGCTGACCGTCGAGATTTTTTTTTTAAATAAATTTAGTCCGAACCTTTTGATAGGAAGGATTCACAAGGACAAAGCCAGACGAATCCTTTTGCGGTGACCCTGCTCTCTACCCTCCGATCGCGCAATTCCAGTTCTATGCAGAATTTAGAGTTCAAAGTTTAACGTGCGCACATTGACATAGCCGCGCACGGCCGGTCCCCTCACTGACTTCGCCTGGCTACAGCCTGCCACCAACCGCAAACATACCTGTCAGGAGGCTGGAGGCCCTTAGATGTCAAGCGCCCGTCGCGCTTCAAACCCGGACTGTTATAACCGGTAACGCGTGCTCTCACCACGCGGAGTCCAACGCTCTACCAACTGAGCTGTCTGAGCTATGCGACCGGCAAGATGAGATTCTCCCCTCTCCTGACCATTCAAGTGTCCCCCTCCACTGACTGTCAGGATGCCCTCCTCTCCTCTCCTGGCCGTGGGTTGGCCTGCTCTCATAGTTCTGTTCTGAGCATCGGGGATGCCCTCCCCTCCTCTCCTGGCCGTGGTCTGTCATCCTCTCCTGGCCGTGGGGAGGGGGAGGGAGGGTGCCCTCCTCTCCTGACCGTCGCGTCGGTTGAGGCCGGTCACCGGTCCGGCCGGCTGCCCGTCCAGTTGCCGTTTCGTCTCGTCTCTGACTGGGCGCGCCGTCGGAGGCTCGTCTGGTTAACCGAGAGGGATCTGATACTGGAGTGAACGGCGTCTGTACAGAGGGGAGCTGAGAATACTACACAGGTAAGTTCACCGCTTTATATTACCAGGAGTTTGATTCAAGCTCATCGTTATGCAGGTTGTTACGTAGGTCACTGCTATGTTTGGCACCTAGAAGTCCTAAATGGATGGCATGCTGTGTCATGATTTACGCCTTTAATATCCTCACGCTAATTTCTTATGATGAATAGGGAGAAATACAAAGATAACTACTAAAAAATGCAAAGTAATGAGAAGCAGGAAATAATTGAAACCCTTTTGTTAGAAAGCAGCTCGGTTCATTCATACCATTCACTAAAAGTAATTACCTTACCTTATATTTAAAAGTAAAGTCGATCTTTAATGCAAACTTCGTTTATAATGCGCACTTAATTCCTCAAATATTTAGAGGTTAATTGGCCCGTATTTTCTGGGGCACTCACCGTGCTGAAAGAACCTCGAAACTCGTTCGATAGTTTCAGCGCCGATGACCTGCCTTTCGGAACGCTCAATTTAAGCAGCGGTTTTAATGAGCCACAAGAGAGTTTGGCTACCCCGTTTTCTGTTATGTGTTCGCGCCAAACGTTGGTTAGTGCGGTATAAATAATAATAAAGGCCTGGCTACACTATGCGTTTTCTTCGTGCGTTTTTTGCGTGTTTGCGTGTTTTGCGTGATATCGTTCTAGAAAAAAGAACGATATTACGTTTTTGTGATGTTTTTCACCTTAAATTTTAGTTACATAAGAGTTATATTAGCTTTTGTATATAACCAAAGTAAAAATTATACTGTTTATAACTTTTTTCCTAGAACGATATTACGCAAAACACGCAAACCTGCAAAAACGCACGCAGAAAACGCATAGTGTAGCCAGGCCTTAAGTCTGTGTGTGCGAGTTCTTTTATACTAACAGGCTGAACCAGCCTCACCACATCACATGTGCGGATGCTGAGAGACTCTCTATGCCCGAGTCCTATATGATATTCAACCTTACAGGTAACAAACTCTGCGTTCATTATCTCGTCTCTCACGGTTCCGCTTGCCGAAGTGTATAACGGAGTTCGCGTGCCAGCTGTAACCTGGCCGGGTGCCACCCGACTTCATAGGCTTCTCCGAGCTCCAGATTGCTTCCTGCACTGTCTCTGCCGCTCATACTGACTCAGGGAACCGAAACAAACGGCCCGGTGGCATATCCTGAAAGGGCTCAGTGGCAATGGGATACGGATCTGCATGACAGTAGCATGCCTAGTTAAATGGCTCGACAGCTTCTGCAAATCAATTATGCGCTAAATCGTATGGCATAGCTTTGCTAGGCTTTTTGACCATGACAATGGGACGCATCGATTGAACACATTGATGGGGCAAATCGATGTTATTCCAATTACCTGCCAGAAGTATCAAGCTCAAAATGTTCGATTTATATCAGGGCGGTGTCACAAAATTGCAAAAATGAAAGATTCATTTCTTTTTTCATTATGTATCTGTATTACTGAAAGCTCCCGATGGATAGTGATATTGTTTCGTCACTCTACCGATCTGTTGTCCGTTCGTGAAAAATATTCTTGGTAACTGATTTGAAACAAATATGCTGGACTGCGCTGGTAAATCCCCACAGCTCTACTGAACGTGAGCAGGCAATCGTTTCCCTCTGCCTGCTGCGCTGTCGCCGTCTGAACAGCGGCAGCTTGTAGTGTATCGAGTACCTAGTGCATCGGGTGTCCGAGGCTCGGCATCGGGCCCCCGGTAATACGAGTGTGAGGCGGCCGCACCCTGCTCGGCTCCAGTCAGAGCCAGCAGTCGAGAGGCTCCGCCCGGCCGCACAGCACGGCAGTGCCTCAGTGTTTTGCACCGCGAGTTTGTGAGAATACATCGGAACCCGGAGACGGCGGTGGACACTACATCTGGCGACAAGGATGAGATCCTGAATACTACCGACGATGAACGTCGAGGGGGTGTCGCCGCCAACTCCGTTCCTGGCGAGACCAGGAAAACCAGCACTGCCCTGGAGTGACTGGATTTTCAGTTTCCACAACTACCTGACTGCCCTGGGAGGTGAGGCCTACAGCACGGAGAGGAAGACGGCTCTCCTTCTGCACTGTGTCGGCGCCGAGGCGCAACGGGTGTACCGTACCCTACCGGTCCAGCCGAGGAGAGAAGACGAAGACGAGTTCCATGCGGCTGAGCGGCAGCTCGCCGAGTTTTATGAACCTCAGGTCAACGTGATCGCGGAGCGGTTCTTCTTCCGGCAGCGACGGCAAGAGTCGCACGAGCCGACGGCCGACTACGTGGCGGCGCTGCGCCGCCTGGCAGTAAACTGCTCGTTTGGACAAATGACAGACGCAATGATACGTGACCAAGTCGTGGAAGCAACAGTGCATCCGATTCTCCGCGAGCGTTTTCTGCAGGATAAGGGCCTGACCCTGGACCGCGTTCTGGAGATCGCCGAGGCATTCGAGCGATCCCGACGCGAGGCGACCGCCATGGCCGGGCCGGCGCGGCCCGCCGCCGACGGAGCGCAGTCACTGCATCAGATATCTGACGCTCGTCAGCGCCGCGGGCGCCGGCCCTGGCGACCCGCCCGGCGGCAAGACGACCGCCGCCCCGCCCCTGCCCAGTTGCAAGCCGACCGTCGTTCCGGACCTGCCCAGCTGCAACCGGACACGTGCCCCAGCTGCGGCCGGCGCCAGCACAATGAGCGCGGTCGGTGTCCCGCTACCGGTGCCACGTGCGGGCAGTGTGGGCGGACGGGTCACTTTGCCGTGGTCTGCTGGTCTGGTGAACGGAACGACGACAGAAGGTGTCACGAGCTGACTGTTCTCTGCTGCGCCGTACCAAATACCGATAAGATGATGTGCGAAGTACAGATGGAGGTACCAGGTATCACGCAGACCGTGAATCTGCAAGTTGACACGGGTGCCACGGTGTCCGCTTTAGGACTCGGCATCGCCAGACGTCTCTTCAAAGGCAGTCGTCTCAATAGAACGTCTGCTCGTCTGTTCGGTTTTGGTCGACACCAGCTTCAAGTGCTTGGCACGCTGCCAGCGCTGGTGACCTACCGTGGACGGCGAGCCAACACAGAGTTCTTCATCATAGATTCCGACGGTGAAGAAGCCGTCATGGGACTGGACCTGCTGAAGCAGTTGGACGTAAACCTGCACCCCGCGAGTGGGGCAATCGATCAGCTGGCGGTCACTGGGAGCGCAGAAGTCCCGGAACCGCCACCGTCTCAGCCCGACCCTGGCGAGATATGCTCACTGACAATGGTCCGTGGCCACCCCGAAGAAGCGGACCTGCATGAAGACAGCTCCGCTGAAGAAGAGGTGATCGCTCTTCTGACAGATGAAGAGAGCGTGCTGACCGAGCAAGACGTCCGCACCGCGGCAGCTGCTGATCCTGAGCTGCAGCAGCTGCGTCATCAGATCAAGCGCGGCTGGCCGAGCAGCGCCAAGGCCTGCCCGGTTGAAGTCCAGCCGTACTTCAAGATGAGACACGAGTTGTGGGTGCGCAACGACGACGTCATCCTGAGAGGAGCCCAACAAGTTGTTGTGCCCGTTCAGCTCCGCCGCAGATACCTGGAGCTGGCGCACAGCGCGCACGACGGAATCGTCCGCATGAAACAGGCGCTGCGGAATCTGGCGTGGTGGCCCGGCATCAACCGTGAGGTGGAGGAGCTGTGCCGAAGTTGCGAGCGCTGCCAGCACAGCGACGCAGTCCTCTCCCAGCGCGCACGCCCTGCGCCCATGCAGCCAGTCGACCTGCCGGACCGCGCCTGGTCGAAACTGGGAATGGATATCGTTGGTCCAATCAACGGAGCACCAGCGACTGCCCGTTACGCCATCACTCTGATTGACTACAGAAGCAAATGGGCGGAAGTCTGCCTGACGTCATCGACTGAGACTGAAGACGTCATCAAGTTCTTGTCAACTGTGTGGGCCAAAGAGGGCTATCCCGACGAGATCGTGACGGACAATGGGCCTCAGTTCACGAGCAGGGAGTTCACTGCGTATCTGGCCGCCCGAGGGGTGAAGCACACCAAATCGTCCGTCTACTGGCCTAGAGGCAACTCCGCCGTAGAGCGCTTCAACAAAACGTTCAAGTCGTGGATCACAGACTGTCCACCAGCAGCGTTCATTGACGAGGTACGCAAGAGCCTGGCGGTGTATCGAGCCACCCCACACACGACAACTGGGAAGTCACCGTCAGAGCTCCTGCATGGACGACAGATGAGGCTGAACCTGCCTGTCATTCAGCCGTCAACACCAGGAGCCGACAGTGTGGCGTCTCGAGTTCGACGCCGACAGCAGTCCAACAAGAGGTCCTACGACCGCCGCCGTGGCGTGACGACGCCGCGCATCACTGAGGGCGACTACGTCTGCGTGAGACGGCAGGGATACCGCTCGAAGACGTCCTGTCGGTTCACGTCTCCGGTGCGAGTCACTGGGCGCGTCGGTCCCGCAACGTACCGTCTGGCTGACGGCCGGACCTGGAACGCCGCCCATCTGGCCCGTCTCCCATACGCGCCGGCGTCTCCCTCCGCATCTCCCCCCGCTGGGCCCGGCGAGACCACGTCGACCGCCACGACTTCCGAGGCCGACGCCGCTGGCCCGCTGACCTCGCTCGCCGCTGCTTCTCGCCCGTCGACCGAGACAGCTTGCGAGCCGTCGCCGGACGCCGCCGATGTGAGCGTGCAGCGTCCCAGGCGAAGCGACCGTGTCTGTAGACGACCGGACTACTACGTGTCGCAGTGATGCTGTTCCTTTTTTTTGCGAGAGGGGGGAATGTGTAGTGTATCGAGTACCTAGTGCATCGGGTGTCCGAGGCTCGGCATCGGGCCCCCGGTAATACGAGTGTGAGGCGGCCGCACCCTGCTCGGCTCCAGTCAGAGCCAGCAGTCGAGAGGCTCCGCCCGGCCGCACAGCACGGCAGTGCCTCAGTGTTTTGCACCGCGAGTTTGTGAGAATACATCGGAACCCGGAGACGGCGGTGGACACTACACAGCTGTTTACCGTACTATATTTGGCAGCCAAACAGCAACCCAGACTGGCGG